TACGGCTCGTATTTATCTATTACTGTCCGCATGCGACTGGGTACAACACAGAATGACTGCGAATTATATACGTGAACATTTTTTTTTTGTTTGCCAAATCATCTATTTAAAAAGAAAATTTGCAGAGAACTGGACAAGGACAAAGTATGTCCGGTGAGCGATCAAATAGATCGTGCAGTAAAAATGGTAGCACTGGGTCTGAAAAATTTCATGTCATATTTAAAAAAGTTGGAGCTCAAACAGGCAAATGTAGATCAAATGTGCGATGAACCTTCTGTTGCCGGTAGTGTAAGAGTCAGCTTAATTTCCTAATTACTTCAAAATCTGTTTAAAACTATCAGTTTCTCATTTTTATATCTCCCGCCCCATTAATTCATTTTTAAAATTCCCAAAAACATCTGGTCTCATTTACATTTCCCTAGACAAAAAATGCCAGATTGCCGATTTGGTTCCTGGCCATGATTGGCAGCTGCCTTCAACACAGCAAAAGATGAATCGCTATATATCTCACACCATATCTTTTTACGCCGTGGACACGCCTATTTCTAAGCTCTATAAAAACTCAACAAAATCCTCATTCGTGGCCAGTGTATCCAGATTTACTCGTCAACAGTAAGCCGGCCTTCTCCTTTTTTATTATTAGCCCTATTCCTCTTTTATTAACCCATTTCGACGGAACTGCCACTCCAGTTTGTTCCCCTACTGCAGACGAAATTAATTGAAGCTGCGGGCATTGTGTACACGGTCTATTCATGTGCGTAGTTTTAGCGGAGATCACTGGCCATGGCTATTATTACGTCAAAACCTCTGCCCTCAGTAAGTGCACGATAATCATAAACAAGATGTTATATTTGTCGACATTCACATTGTTAGAGAAATAATAAGGAATCTTACACGCTCAGTTTTGATCAATGAGAAGTTCTGGAAGTACTTTATGAAATAAAAGAGTCTCAGACTTTTTTGAACGTGCACACACTCATTTAATATTCACACCAACACCCATACATCTTTTCACAATTTTTCCCCAAAAGTCCCTCGCACTGTGATTACAAACTTCAAATACCTTATCCTCAATGCAAGTTTCCATATCTTTAAGCATTGTTTCCAACGTTTCGTCCAATTTCGAGTGATATTTATACTGAAAAGAACAGCAGTAAAGTGATAACCGCTGATTGACGTAATAAGCGGTTCGTATTTCT